TGCGTACATTAGGAATGTGTTAACTCAAATATTGGTACTTAAATTTTTCTGATGATATAAAACTAATTTTCGTTGTAAAATGTAAAGATTTATTAAAATATTAGGGTAGTCAAATATAAAACGTAGCGGACAAAAAATTCAGACACTGAAATTAATTAACATATGTTAATAATCTCCATGATTGGCGAGGCAGTTCTTCCATTGTGAAACCAGATGACGGATGCCCTGTTTATAAAATTCTTTAAACTCGGATCGAACCCACTCGTAACTTACACTGACGGAAATTTCTTGCCTTTTAGGTTTTTCTTCATATCTCCAAAAATGTGAAAATCGCATGGCGACAAATCTGGGCTGTAAGCCGGGAGTTCCAGCATTTCCCATTGGAATTGTGTCGTTATGCAATTTCCACATCTTTGGAAACCTGTATCCTGATTCTGTAACTTTTAACGACAGTGTCCATATTATATTGTCGTTGCGCAGATATTATACATGATAAAAAAGCTACCCAACGATAACATTATAACGATACCGAACTATCGTTAAGAGTTACAGAATTGGGGTACTAAAGAAAAATCTGAAAGGCAGGAAATTACCAGACGCAGCAGTGCAGGAGGCTACTATTTGTGAGTGAGTTCGATCCCAGCCTAAGGAATTTTATGAACAAAGCATCCATCATCTTAGTTTTACAATGGAAGAAGTGCCTTGTCAACTACAGTGATTATTAACATGTTAGTTGATTTTAATGTCTGAATTAACGAAGTACGAGTGACGGCTAAAACTTGTTGGAGGTCACTTAGGGTCATGACCTTGACAACATATGTCAAGGTCAAGGTCATTGAAGCTTGGTTCTTTAATCAATATTTTTACCAAAAAACGCAACATTCTTCGGTACGGAACCAACTTACTAACGTTACAATAAGAGCATTCAACATTCCCGCCATAAGTGCCAATGTGAATTGCACAAAAAATTGCGTGACCACAACAATTTCATAAATCGGCGATGCATCGAACTCAGGCGGCAGTTTCATTTTGACAATAAGCTGCTTCTCTTCGACAAGTTGCTCAGAACCCATAGTCTTTTGAACGATCATGTTACCTGCTCCAAATAAAAGTAACACGACAGTATATGTACCGATGCTATATTTTGAAACTCGATGAGACAAAATCGCTTTGCTTATCATCAGTTGCATCTTTGAGTGAGTAGAGGAGCACTCATTCCAGTCTTCGGCAATCCTCGCAATCATGTCATAAATGATACTGGATAACATGTAGATATATAATAATACAATATATGCATACAGATAATTAGTATACAAACTAATAGTAAGTAGCAAAACTAATTTCTAAAAAAATTATAAATTACAAATTAATTTTTCAAAAAATAAAATTACATTCGGAAGGATCTTAATTTCTATTTAAAATAACGTGTCTAAGGCAATAATCTATCCCGATATAAGGTGCTCAATGTTGAACTTTTTACGAGCAAGTATCATTAACTAACTGTTTCACAAGTTAACATATTCAACTTTGAATTTGAAAAAATTCAAATACCCATAAATATAGAGAAAGATTTACGCGCCCATCCGTCTTTTGTTCGTCAGTTGATGACATCTCAAACAAGTCTTACCGTCCGTTCAGCCAAAGAAGGCTCAACTTTAGAAATAACAAGCTATTCGATAAACACAGACTCAAAGAATCCATGAGATTCGGCAGAGTATCAGTACCGATGTGAGTGAAGAGATGCCAGTACTGTAAGAGCTGCCAGGTGGCCATCATCGTCATCCAAACGGTGCGCATCAAAAATCTGTACGAGGAATCTGGCCAAACGCCGATCAGCCGTAAAGTAAATTCCATCAAACTGTCAACAGTGCTCGTAGGTATCATCTTTTCTTTCTTTATTCGTGCTTCTCGATTAATTGACCGATTCCAACAATTGTTACAGCCGCAGTCACCAGCTATCCTTCCGTTTAACCGACGTAGATTCGCAGTTCTATCGCGATTCTTGTATAAAAGAAGACCTCTTCTTATTGTGACCAGTCGTAGGTCACGTGCTCGCGTAAGTTCAGACAGTAATGTCAGATACAACCGCGCAGCTAGCTAAACGCTATGCTACACCATAAAAACTTTCCACTAGAACTGGTTGGCCTCATAGAAGCAGCGGCTAAAGTGCTGCTTTGTGCAAAATAACTACCGTCCAACTGCAATTACTGGAGACCATTATATGAAGCGCACGTAATTAAATACGACTACTTTGACGATCAGCGGAGAAAGGGACAATCGGAGGTAAGAGCAATCACACGTACTCCGTGTGTTACATTATTCGTGACATCACAGTCAAGATCACGAGACGTTTGCTTTAAAAATACACAACCGTAATTTATCAAATTGTTTCGCGGACAATCACATAGAAAATTAAAATACAATTGTTCGCAGATAATGAAATATAATGGTCAATCATAATAGTTGTTGCGTCGCGTCTGCTATACATCATGGAGGACTCGCTCGAGCGACACTTTCGCATCAGTCATGATCATTTCACTCCGACATTAATATTTCAAGACCATTTTTAAAATATATATTTGAAATTAATCAAAATGTGAACTTCATACTTTGTCCAAACAAACAGATATTATATATTTTTCTCCTTCTTTCTGTGTAAATGTAACGGAAGAGGCAACTTTCCAGAATAGTATCCCCTCAGCTTCAAATGAAACTGCCGCAGTATAAGTAAATAAATATTGTAGAGTTAGCATGAATTTACGGCTGTGAGAATTCCAGTACCTCCGGTTCCACGATGATGTAACGTGACAATTTTACAACGCGCATGTAGCGACAGCAGCAATCGTTGCCTCCGCTCCTAAAGTTACATCACATAATAAATTTTATCCGTATCAGTGGCAATGGATATGTCACTTCCGAACGAGAGCAGACGTAAGATTCGGTCGTATCTCATGTAAATGTATGCACAGTTTTGAAGGGAAACGTATAGCGCAAAACAATCCTTTCAGAAGAGCGCAATGAATGTCATTCCCGTTACGTTTCTCCAACTTTCGAGTGAAAATAAGAGGAGAATATCGTGCACGTATCGCAAAAATTGTAACATGAATGTCCTCGATGAAAATTGACTCGATTCCATGCCCGACGAAAAATTGCAACGATATCTCCACGCTGCACATTTTGCAAGTCGATCGGTTTTTTCGCTTGATATTATTAAATTCACTTTTCGAAAAGATAACCACTCGAAAAAGGATAAATCGTAGATAGGTATAGCAACTTATACCATAGATACTCGCTGTTCGTTTCAAAATGTGTTATAATCATTCCTATAAATCATCCTTGCAGTTAAGTTATTGCGAATTGCAGACATTTGGTCAGCATCCGCGGTCTCATAGGAAATCATGATGCCAACAAGTAGAAAGGTGTTGCGGACAAATATGAAATAATGCGAACCATAAAAATTTACGCGCGCTTTGGGACGCGAATTTCAATAGAAAAGCAAGATTGAACAATATCAACGATATCAAGTCAACGAGAAAATGCATTTTATTCATAAATCTAGAATAAAAAAGTCAGCGTGCACCTGTACTGAATATAAAAATTTCGAAATGAATATATTTCTAAATTCTGTACACATTTTTGTAGAATTACACTTATTTTAAATCTAACTATTGAACTTTATATTTTTCAACATAAAAATCCACTTTTGTGAATTTAATGTTTAAAATTTCAATAATTGAGAGATTTTCACGGTTTTTCCCAATGAATTATAAAGCTCGATTAAAAAAGAACCTGATTAAATATAAAAAATAGAGATTTAAAGAGTATCAAAGGATAGTTTAAAAAAAAAATCACATGGAATACAGCTTCATATTTTTGTTGTATAAAAATTTAATAATATTTCTATTTTAATCGCGATCAGAGTAATGATATACTTTCCATAGAACTTTTAAGATATTGAAACCTCAAGAAAAACATTAAATAAAAAGTTTTTACTTAAGGGAACTTAACCCTCCCATTGCTCTCGTTCAGCAAACAAACGTTAGTGCTCTCATATGAGCGTCGCGCCGCGTCTATTGTGTCGCTGTATCAGTGTAGTGTTCAATGCAGTGCTAGTCAACAAGACACAGTCTTGTAAGAGCCAAAAGCTTTTAAACATCGACTGATTCATCGATCTATAACAGTTACTCAGATTTGACAACAGTACGTATTTGCTCTCGTCATGAGCGTTTGCCTCATACGGGAGCAATGGTAGGTTAAAGAATTTTTACACATCGCCGCCATCATCTAAAGAAATCTTGAATCTAGAGAAAAGTTGTGGATTATTACTGTGGAAAAGGACGCGGGTAAGTAAAGATAAAAATCACATTCCATGATAATAAATTGGACGATATATATAAAATTACAATTCGCTTCTCTATATAAAAATATAATATAATATACAAATTGATCATTTATACAAACTCTATCAAAAGTAGTAACAACAGTACTATTACGCAAGTGCTTTAGAAATATTTCTCCTGTGTCTGAGAAAAACCTTTTATATAATAAGAGCTTCTCGTAAAAAGAGAGAACATAAAGATATTTTTCATATTTTCATCAAATTAATGTGATTATCACCAAGTGTTATTTTCCCATTTGTTCAACAATACACACATTTCAATAAATATTATCCCAACCAAGGATAAATCTTGTAAATTGTCCCAATGATCAAAGATTATATATGTACAGGATGTTAAAAAATCATTCAGCATTTATATGATAGATAATACGCACCATCATATACTGAATAAAAAAGCCTTAGTGAACATAGTTCGAAACCTCAATCGTTTCTGAGATATAAACAATTTAAATCTTCACATCGTATGCGACACATAGAGAATAAGTTTACGTTAGATTAAGAATAAGTTACGTAGAAAGCAATAACTTATGATATTAACATACAAAATTGTTTAAATTTTACTCAGTATGGTACGTACTATTTAATACATATAAATGCTGAATTATTTTTTAACATGCTGTATATGTATAATTGATATGTATAATGTCACAAATCGGTATGTATGTGCGAGCATAGACGAAAAGATAGATCGTTTTTTTTTCTATCAGGAAATTAATCCATAATTATTGTATTGATTCATTCGAATGAGAAATAACCACCATTCGTGTACTGTACTTCAATGTCTACAATTATACTGTTAAAACAACACGCAATCAAAAACATAATTGCGATACTGCAATACGTTCATACATTTCATCGAAAAGCGTTCAATATTGAACGATAAAACAATGTAAACCATCGAATATTTACGCAATCTATCAATGAGTTGATCGATTAACATTATATATTTACATGCCGTTGTAAGCTGGCCCGCCGCCACCCTCCGGCACAACCCAATTGATGTTCTGACTCGGGTCCTTGATGTCACAGGTCTTACAGTGAATGCAATTCTGCGCGTTGATCTGCAATCTTTCGCCATCTCCGCTTTCCAGCGGCACAAACTCGTAGACACCTAAAATCAAATTGCACACGCTTGTTTTCGAATTGCAGAACAAACTGTCCTCACATATCTTCCGATGGAGAGTTAGAGATACATCCAGAAACCACCAATCTCCTAGTTGCACGGAAATTATTACTGATTCTAATAGCATAAGTAACTAACTTATGTGTTCTTGTCGATCCGATTTATGTATTAGAAATTTTGTAAAGCAACTTGGTTGTTTTACAAAAATGCTAATAATGTCGAAATGCGCAGGATGATTTATTCAGCGCGATTTATTCAGCAGACACATATATCCTCAGCACTCTACGAAGTGTGAGATTTACGTCGCGAAGGTCACATCGTGCCCTCGGCCAGACAGTCGATAACCTGGTCCCCACTATCTTTCAGACGGCGCAGCAATTCTGTAAGAAAGCTCCCAGAATTCCTCTTTGACACCCCGACTCGCCAGGTCCATGAAAGGAAACAGGAAGACGCAGGCTAAAGACACGGAAAGGAAAAGTACGAGAATGAAGAAAAAATACATCGTAAAAATCCAAGGGTGGATGTTCAAAAAACAATGGTAAAAAGGCACATAAATTTATCTGATTCGAAAGTTATATGTGATAGAATAGGATATATATTGCGGTGTCCACGCAAAGCCATAAAATTTAAATTAAGGAATAACGCCCATTGTTATAATGTTGTAGCATTCATTATAATTTTGTATAAACAATATAAATTTAAATTGATGAGATTTTGAAGATTTAATGAAATAATAAAATTGTTCTACTCAGTTAAATTTCATATAAATTTTATCCTACTAATTTAAGTTAGCTCTAGAATTACACAAAAATTAAATTTTTCAAAAGATATTTAACGGTAAAAAGATCATGCAAAATTTTTAACTATAAAAAAAGTCAAACTTAAATTCATTGACAATTTGTAAATTAATTCATATTTCATGGTCATTCGTTTATAGGAACACTTAATATTATTTTATCATAACACAATGATTCTTTCATTTCTAATTACATGTTTCTAATTGCATTCTTTACGTCTATACGATATTAATTTTGTGAATTATGAATGTATTGGGTTTTAATTCCTCATATTACAGCAACAATATCTGTTTGATTTTTTACGAAATCATATCATTAAATTTACAGTAATTACAATGATTCCTTGTACATATAGAAATTATTTTCAAATAAAAACTAACATTTTTCGAACATTATCAAATTAACAGCTAATATAAATATTGTAATTCATTTCCTTTATGAGAAAATTACTTATTACTTATTAAACGTACTTAAATTGTTTATTACAAGTAGCAATAGTTACGTCAGCGAAAAAAAAACAATTCGCCGCGCATCTAGCGATCAAAACTGATAGGCGTGTATTTAGTAATATGGCCAGGCGGGTTCGCGCTTTTTCGGCGATCGATCTTTAGAAATTAATATTTCGTTAATTATTGCAAAAATTGTAAAATAGCACGAAACTTTTTCAGTGTAATCCGCTCTATTTGCCCACGAGCGTTTTCGATAGACTCAAACATTCTGTATATGTATATAGTAATATAGTAGAGTATGTATTTTATACAATATGTATAAAATACATACTCTACTGCTATAAGCAAATTTTGAAAAATTGTTAACAACAAATTGGATTATTGGAGCACTTCTATTATTGCAAGATTAATACAATATAAGGAAATTCTTAAGGAACAGAGAGAGAAGAGATAAATCGACGATGAAGTTGTTAGGCCGGGCTGCAGGGCGTTGTTCGATTTTGGAGATTGAGCTTGGTCCGGGGTTGTCTAGCCATGCGGGGGTTGTCCGGGTAGCTCAGGTTCAAGGACACAACGGTCGATAAACCCCCGACAAGACTGGAAAAAGGGGGAGAGGAGGCAGACGTGGCTCGAGGGCGGAAGTGGAAGGAGCTGGATTGCCTGCAGATTGCGAAAATTTATTGCGAACGAAATTGATCTCTCTTGATAATAATGTCCTTCAAATACTAAATAATTTTGCATCAGATAAATTTTTCGTGAAAAGCAAATGGATATTTAAACAATTAATAAAATTATATGGAAATACACATATGTTAAAAATTCAATAGACTCGCACAACAAATATAATGCATTTACTTTTGCAGCAAATTTTAATGACAGATTTAGATTTAACTTTTATTAATAAATATATAGTAAGCAATTTAATGTTTGGAAAAAATGCAAAAAAATTAAAATTATCTGTTAAATATCTAAACTACAGTTCACTTGATGCTACAAATGTTTCGAAGCATTTTTTAATTATGATCAATTAATAAAATTCTTTCCTTCGATTGGTCAATCGAAAGCGCCGAAACATTTGTAGCGCCAAGTAGACCACATCCTAAAAATGAAATAGAACACGAGCGGTATAAAATTACGCAAGATAGATATACTAAACTCTGCAATGCGGTAAGTATACTACTTATTCATTCTCATCATAATGAATAATTTTTTCGTCTGGACTAACAAAATAATACCACTGTTGAATAAATTGAGTATTTCCAGTAATTGATAAGAGGAAGGTATTGTATGAAAAAAATATTACATTATAATTTTTAAATCATATAACCGAATGAATAAAAATAATCATGGAAAAAACTGTATATGTAATCATTAATAAATATATGTGACAAATCATTGTTAATATAATTTATTAATAGTCTAAAAACAATTTTTTTTAATTATTTATTTAATATAAACATTTTTAATATTTTTCTGTTTTATTCAGTAAATAAATTTTAACGTAATCTTGATATATAAAAATATTTATGTTTTCGCGCATATACCCATTCGGTGAATTTATATCTCGTAAAAAAATACATATTTTTAGACTCGGGAATAATACATGGAAAAATATACATTTATAGATTTACCTTACTATCAATTTTCTTTTAAAATGTATTTTAATATATTTCTTAATATATTTTTTTATTTAATATATTAATTTCTATAAAAAATTGTAACATTGAAAAATTTAAAACCTTAATATTAAAAAAAAAAAAAATAAAATATATCTACTCATGTGGATAAAAAAAAATAAATACAACTAAAAATTCACATAAAAACTATTGCAAAATTGTAAAATGGTAGAGGACTTTTCTTCTCAGTTTAATCCATTCTACCTCTATGCGAGAGGTAGGTTTTATTATTAATTATCAGACACCCGGTATAGAAAGATACTTTATTGTATAAGATTACATCAAAATTAATTTATTTACAACAAAACAACGTTTAATTTTTAAAAAATCAAATTTTCTTAGGCAAACTCGACTGCCTTCGCTAACTGCCACAAATTATATTCACATAGATTGTAATAAATATATTCAACAAATCAAAATTATCTATATAAAGTTCATTAAGTCTATTATGCGATTCGCAAAAATAGACTGTACCTAACATTCAATCAAACAGAATTTATAAACATTATATAGTAATCACAATGCATAAAATGATAAATGTATAAACATACAATAAACTGACTTACCAGCAGGGCAAAATCGACCTTCTGGACCAGCAAATTCAGTTAAGTTTCTCTTTACTGGAACGGTATCGTCCATCAAAGTTAAATGAGCTGGTTGATCAGCTTCGTGATTGGTACCAGTCAAAGCTACTGACGACAGAAGATCGAAAGATACCTCGTTATCTGGTTTGGGATATTCTATTGGCGTCGACTTGGCAGCCGATTTCAATTTCTTATGATCAGGACCTACGAACACACGGTACGAAAATATTTAAAATTAACATTTGCAATATTTTTCAGGAAATCTCTTCAAAAGCTCCTGCATAAATCCGTTTTTACCTCCATGAGATAAAGTCCACGGTTCTCTTCCGCCTAATAGCGTAGAGAAACCAGCGTACATTAAACCACCGTAAAGCCCAAGAGAAGAATGGAAACTAGGCCTCATATTTCTTACGGCTTTCAATTCCTTATAGATCCAACTATTTTTTATTTTATCTGTATACGTTTTCGGCTCTATGCCTTTTGTCAGTGAGGTATTACTTTCTGCGTCTATGATTGCTTCAATAACGCTTTCTGCAGCCAACATACCACTTTTCATAGCATTATGAGTTCCTTTAATTTTGGGCACATTTAGGAAACCTGCCGTACATCCAATGAGACACCCCCCAGGGAATTGAAGTTTGGGAATAGATTGGAATCCACCTTCCACCAATGCTCTAGCGCCATAAGCTATTCTAAAATTAAGAAGAACAAATTTAGGTAATATAAAATAGTATATGCAACTAAAATTTCGAATTAAAGACATCAACCTTTTTCCTCCTTCAAATGTTGGTCTAATACCAGGATGTTGTTTAAATTTCTGAAACTCTTTGAATGGAGATAGATAGGGATTAGTATAATCCAATCCTACAACAAAGCCTACTGCAACCAAAGGTGTTTCTTCATTCAAATGATATAGAAACGATCCACCGTATGTATTTCTATTAAGTGGCCAGCCAACCGTATGCTCTACCGCTCCAGGTCGATGCTTACTTGGCTCTATCTCCCAAATCTTTCAAAAATTATTTCACTTTAGAATATAAAGCATTTTATATTTATATAATTTTAAATTTTGTTATTGTAATATAACTCGGTGATATTCACTTCTTTCAATCCAAGACCATATGTCTGCGGTTCACAATCTTTTCTGAGATTTAATTTCATCGACAACTGTTTCGTCAAATGGCCGTGACAGCCTTCTGCAAATATGGTACATTTTGCATGAAGCTCCATACCCCGTTCGAATGTATCTTTAGGTGAGCCGTCTTTAGCAATACCAACATCATTTGTAGCTACTCCTTTAATAGATCCATCTTCATGATATAAAACTTCTGCCGCTGCATAACCAGGATATATCTCGACACCGGCAGCTTCTGCTTGTTCGCCAAGCCATGTTACTACATGGCCTAATCTATAATCACAGAAATATAAATTTTTACAATCGGAAACTAAAATGTATTGTTTATTCCTCATTTACAAATATATAACAGTATTAAATTTCAATGCTCACCTTACTATATAATTCCCATGATTGTACATTGGCATTCCCTTGAAAATAGGTATAGATATCCTCTTCTTTTCCGTGAGAAATGCAAATTTATCCTCAGTAACAGGAGTATTCAATGGTGCACCTAATTCTTTCCAATTTGGAAAAAGTTCATTCAAAGCAATTGGATCTAAACAAGCGCCGCTGAGGATATGTCCACCAATTGCAGACGCCTTTTCAACAAGGGTAACTCTGAGTTCCTTGCCATGTTTCTCAGCCAGTCTACGAGCCTGTATAGCTGCCGATAGTCCTGCTGGACCGCCACCGACAATTAGAATGTCGGTTTCGTCCACGTATCTCTCCATGTTCACTTCTGGTGGATAAAATATTCTTAATGCATTTAATTGTATTATTTTAAAAGAAGAAAAATCAAAGGAAATTTACCTTTCCATCTTGAGTCTGTCTCCCTGGGTTTCACTGTATAATGAGTGGTGATTTGAGGAAATTTGGCATCTGAGTAAGCCCTTTGACATATCCTTTGCAGCCTCTGTACTGTCAAAAGTGCAACCAAAATTAAATTACAACATGCAAGTTCTCGCATTCAAATTAGAGCATTTCACATTGTTACATAAGCATTTATTACATAAGTAAACGTATTCTATTTACATAAAAGTATATTTAGATAAATGATAAAGAAATTTAAAGAATCTAAGGAATTTTTTTAATTTAAATATTTCAAATTTTCAAAATTTAATTCGTTTATACACAATCACATATTATCGATATATCGATTACAAAATTTTAATTTCACAATTTCACGCTTCTACAAAAATTCTTTTTTTTTCACAATATTCTAATATTTTTTTTATCCTGTTTTTTATTTCAAATAAAAATACATTTCTATTAAAATACATTTATGGTAAAAACAAAAATTTATTTTCTCGACTCAAAGTTTTTACGAACTTTTAGCGCTTAATAAGAGGCCTGTTTTTTTTAGCTGAATTTTTGCACCAGTTCATCTTTCTTCCTTTTCTCTCCAGGAGGAAAGAAGAGGAAGAAAAATGAACTGGTTTAAAAGTTCTCACACTTTGAGGAAAAAAAAGAGGCAGAAAGTGCAGAAAGTGAATCATTGAAACATATGACACAGAGGGCAAAGGGCAATCTTGTTTACATCATTTGCTATCACGCGTTAACGCAATTGCTCTGAGAGAGAGAGAGAGAGAGAGAGAGAGAGAGAGAGAGAGAGAGAGAGAAATATTAATAGATATTCGTAAACAAAAAACGGAGGCACCAAAGTAAACAACACCAACAATTAATTTCAGGTAACAAATATTTATTGATGGAATGCGCACACGCGCATTTCATCGTAAAACGAGCGATAAAAATATGTACGTACGACCATAAATATATTTAATAATAAGACATTGAACGTCCTTTAATGATGTTACATGACATCACGATATATTTTTATAAAATATAAATCATTAATCGTCTCTTGCAAAACATAATCGTGTTATTATGTGGTGAAACAATCGTTCGAAAATGGAGCGGTAAATTCCATTGCGATTGTCATTTTTGAGTATTATCAATCCATTGCGATAAGGTTATACGTGGCTGCAAAATTCTGCTGACGTTGACGCACTTACTGGTGCCGGACGCATTAAACACCGCGGAAGCCATAATCACGCACAGACAACGCACAATCACCAATTAGCGCAATGGTGATCTGACAGCGATATCAAAAAAAGAAAGAGAGAAACCACAGCCTTTCATTAAAGAGAAACCTGAGAGCGGTCATCTCAGCTTTTTGAGAATAATAAAAACGCTCGAAACTCCATACACTAGCGCACCAATATCTCTTTTAGCAACATATGGAACCTTGTAAGTACATTATTTCGCTAGGTCACAGTAGCGGCTTGACTTACCGACGTTGAATCGATAACCATCAATGCATGTGCGTTAAGCCGTAATCACACTACAGGCTCTCGACTCTGATTCGACTGCCAACTCTGACTGCCGGCCTATAATGGACCAATAATAATGAGACTGATTTATTGTTATTGGTCCATTATGGGTCGGCAGTCAAGTCAGAGTCGGGAGCCTGTAGTGTGATTACAACTTTAAGTCCGTATCAGACTATCGACTCTGCAGGCCGACCCGACTGCCAACTCTGGCTGTTGACCGATAATGGACCAATCACAATAAGACTGATTCAATGTGATTGGTCCATTATTGATCGGCTTTAAGTCCGTATCAGACTAAAAAATCTTTATTCCACCATGGATTGGTCCATGACCAATAACAGCCAGAGTTGGCAGTCGGGTCGGCTTGCAGAGTCGGTAGTCTGATACGGGCTTAATTCCATGAGCGTTGTGAACGTTAAATGGAACGCACCCTTTGTGAACTGGTGCAACTAAAGTCACTAGATTTATATCTAGTGACTTTAGGTGCAACCAGTGCAGCAACAGAAAATAAATCTCTTGTCTTTTTACATTATGGGTTGAGAATATGTTTTGCAGGACAACGAATGAAGATTGATTCGGTAGACGCCAACTTCGAGTAGAAGTTATGTTTTATGTGATAGGATTAGGTCTAGGTGACGCTAAGGATGTCACTGTCAAAGGCCTCGAAATTATTAGGAAATGCGACCGCGTCTATTTGGAGTCTTATACCTCTGTTTTGACAGTACAGCAGGAAACCTTGGTTTGTATTATAAGGTTTGTTTTTTTATTCCTGCACTAGATATATAAATTATACTAGAATTATTTCTCGCTGTTGCCAAATATCAAACATATACTTGTCTTATTTTAAGTTTCAAAAGTGTACATACACTAATTCAACCACAAAAAACAAATCCATAGTGCAACATCAAAGATGATACAGACTTGATTTACTGTATAAAGTAAAGCATTTGATTGTGAACCTTTAATTTAAAGATATATTGAATGTAATTTTTATATAACATATGTATCTTGCATTAGGAAGAATTCTATGGATGTTCCTTGATAGCAGCTGACCGTGAGCTAGTGGAGAATTGTGCAGATGAGATACTGCCAAACAGAAAAGATGAAGATGTTGCTTTTCTGGTTGTAGGAGATCCTTTCGGAGCTACTACGCACACAGATCTGGTTCTACGTGCAAAGGAGAAAGATATACAGGTGGATAGGACATTAATGTTTAGAATCACTATTTTTAGGAAATATCAGGATTATTTTACATTTTTATATGTATCATTTTATATGTAGTAAACATTATTTTAAAGTATTATACTTTTAATCAGGTGAAAGTCATACATAATTCGTCAATACTAACTGCAGTTGGTTGCTGTGGCTTGCAACTATATTCATATGGAGAAATTGTTTCAATTCCATACTGGATGGACACTTGGCGACCTGACAGTTTTTATGAGAAGATAGCTTCCAATAGACAGAGAGGGCTGCATACACTCTGTCTCTTAGACATTAAAGTTAAAGAGCCTACCTTAGAAAGTATCATGAAGAAAAAAAAAGAGTATATGTCTCCAAAATTCATGAGTGTCAATGAAGCTGCTAGTCAGTTAATAGCGATACTTGATAATAAGATTCAGGATGGCCACAAAGATTTAGGTCAGTGACAACAATTCTATTGTGATAATTTTATTAGAATGGTATAATGATCGTATGATATGCAAGGCTGGGTAATCATTTAAAATGCCAAATATAAAATACTTAAAAAAATGTATTTAAAATGCAAAATGTTTTTCAAATCCACTTTATATGTAAAATGAGTAAATAGAATTTTAAATAGTTTTCAAATGCAGAATGGTTTTCCCTACATATATTTTAATATACATTTTTTTAAGTATTTTACATTTAGCATTTTAAATAGAATTTTAAATGGCATTTTAAATGCAAAAATACCCAACCCTGATGATAATCATATAAATTGTATAACAAAAAATATAGCAATCACGTAACGATTATATAATCACAAATAATATTTAAATTAATAATATATTTATACATTATTTTTTCATTTAATAGCGTTCACACAGCAGAGCTTGATAGTAGGCTTAGCACGGGTAGGATGCGAGGACCAACATATTGTCGCTTGTTCCTTACAAAATATGACGCGTGTGAACTTGGGACCACCGCTGCACTGCCTTGTTATACCGGCTGAAAAGCTCCATCCCCTTGAGCTGGAATTTCTAATACAGTACGCTCTCGACAAAGATCAATTCAAAGAAATGACAGAATCATAACCTTTTTTTATCCTAGAAAAGATGGAGTAAGTTCTATTTTTTTGTACAGCGACTTAAAATAAATTAAATATATTAAAATGTATAACAGAACTTACATTTTTTATTACTAATTCTTAATGAAAACATGCTGACTTTACATTTTTTATTTTTTCGCAAAAATTAAAATCTATTTATATTATATATATCTTTTCTAGAAGCAAATATCAATTATATTTATATTTATTTTAATTCTTCGTGGTCACACTTAAATGGTTACACCAGTGTCAAAATGACCTTAGAGCACATTTAACTGATTGCTGTATTTACAGTTCTCGTTCTATAAAGTATAAAGAATTTCTGATTAAATGCGCTCTGAGGTCATTTTGATTCCAGTGTGATTACGAAAGAATGTAATTTTTCGGTACGAGATTTTGCAGGTTTTGTAATCCTAAAATCCATAAAAAAGTTTCCGACCCCGGGTTGCATAATATTTACATGAACGCTATAGTAGTTATTAAGGTGGCTCTTTAGTAAAGTGCCGAAAATTTGGGGTGCCTCACCAGGGCCCACCCAAAATTACAAATATCTGCATAATTTGGATAAAATATTAAAATTACATGTATATCTTAATGAAATAGTATGGAACATATGATATAGTAAATCAAGAGCTGTATCTTCATCGAATGAAAACAAGATGACATTAGATTTATTTTTGAGATTAGATTTTCAAGATTAAATACAGGATGAATTAATATTCACCCTGTATTGCATTTTTAGTATATAAAGGTTATTTTACCGTAATAGGTGGAACAACAGTCGCTATAGAAAAAACAACATTGGCTGGAAGAGGTTTTATTCCCTTTATGACTAATTCCTTCGTGACGAATGATTGTCGTAAAAGAGGCAAACTTTTCTTCAAAAATTTAATAAGATATGGTTGTGATGAAGCATTTAATAATTTTTCAAATCTGTCACAAAATTCTTCTGTCTGGAATTTCTGAGAAGACCGATGCGTCTGGGTGATGAATGAAATATACAGATGTGACCACTATAGTAATGATAGAAGTATTAAAATTAGAACGCATGATAAAACCGCACATCTCCACGTGAAAAGCCATTGCGTCACTAGAATAATTATAAAGTGCTATATTAGAACGATTATTAGAACAAGTTTACGAGCTACGTAATAGCGTTAGATAAAATTCATACATAATCATACATAATCATTACGCTGGAAAGCGCGTGTTTAGTGAGAGGTATTTTATAATTGCATTAAATCTTTCGTGTTTTATAATTCTTGTGTATTTGATACCACTCTTCTGTTAATCTATTCACAGCCGCGTGAAACTTTAATTCTTAAAATAATAATTAAAAATGTAAGAACAAATTTCAATTTAATATATTAACAATGTTGAAACTATATATTCTGCTATAGTATATTCTGGCATAGTTGACAGTTAAGACTATTAATCAAAAGAATTAATGATGTTTGTTATATCATTAAAATGGTTTTTAAAAATTGTTGCTGCTTGATTATTATACTTCGTACGCTTAAAAAAAAACTATTGAAGCTACTTTGAGATAGATATACATATATGATATCACACATCGATTTTTATCAGATTCATCTAATCGGTAATGAAAATATATACGGTATTTATTCGTAAGTTTTTTTCTCTCTTATTTCATCGTTAACCTACCGTAAAATTTTGCACATTGTCAATTTCGGTACTTCAACTTCATTATATAAAAAATATTAGACATTTTTATGGTAACTCAATTTATTAAAGAACCACTTTAAATATTCGATATTTCAGGCCGTGTAACGGGTGATCGATTGCAACCGAACCATATCGTTTCGTATGACCGTCACAGAAGGCAGAGAGAAATTGGCGACCGCGCACACTGTATTTACGCGAGCAGCATTATTATTCCATTCGTTCTGGCCCGGTTCCATATTCTAAGCCGCATATAATTCTGCGGCGGAGTCACGTGGCCGTGCGCCAGGGCAAACTAATCAATGGACAAGCATCGACCACTATGCCGACGAGGCTGGTATCGCGTATCGGTGATTCAGTTGTGCTACAGGGGTGCATTCGCTCAGTGGTGGCAGCCCTTCCGTTTCGTTTCCTTGTGCAGCAGGTACACTCGGTTTCTGGGACGTGCGAAAGACAACGATATATGTGCGTTTTACGACACTGCTCCAATTTATGTTCTCGCATACTTTGGCAGGTATACGGAATTGTACGAGCACCGTTGTCCCGCGATGAACGTAGCACTGTGATCACGCACATGTATACTGCTACTCACTGTAAATTGTTTCTGCAAAAAGAAATATACAGTACAATTGTAATATTTTTCTTGCAATTATTGTACCCCCGCACCTATTCAATTAGTTTGAAGATATCTTTATTAGTATTAAAGTAAATAAATTCGTTTTAAATTGTTATACCTGTACATATAAAATGTAACCAATATATAGAGGATCAAATAGAAAAATCAATAAAAAGAAAAATGTATATATATTAATAGAAATTTTTTTATTGAAAAGTTACCAATAGTTCAATAGTCTTTTGTAGATGTAGTATAATGAATTTATATAAAACTTAACGATTGTATATGTAGCATATATACAATAGATAATTATTTTTTACTTATGCAGAAAATTGCAATTTTTATGTATTTTTAAATCTTCTTGCTCAGAATGTTCCAGAAAATTAAAATTTTTAATAAAAACCAACTTTTCTATGAGGCTTTTTAATGAATACTTTCTCAATCGACTATTAGAAGATTAGGATTTGTATTTTTAGTAATTACGCAAATTCCAAAATAATTCTAATTTTTTCATTTTAAATGTCTAGAACGCAAAAATTATAATGGAAGAATTTCTTTAAAAAAACGTTGTATTCCATGATGCATGCGATGTGTTGCAGTGAAGGAAATGCGGCAGCGAAATTCTACATATATACAAAAATTAATTGGAAATACTATGACATGCAGTAAAGTGGCACGATGCTGAGTCCAACTCCGACGATCGATCGTTCCAGCCTACGTCCTGGCACAGGATACCTCATTGCGCCGCGAGTACCCCACGGTCTCGCGACTGTTGTCGAAGGTCTCACGAGGGAGGTCCTACGTCATCGTCCCGAGGATATATACGTTTTTGCAGCTCGTCACTTTGAAAAGTTGCTAAAGCTACGGGAGGAGTACCACATCGGAGAGTACAGCAATCGCGAGTTTAGCCATGAATTCAATCGCGATTTTAATCTGTGGCCCAAAAAGACCCAAAATATTGAAAAACCTTCAAACGGCGGTTGGTCCCTGGAGAAGGAGATCGAGATCTTCGAGAGGCACGAGCAAACAGTCATTGACACGGAGGAGAGTCAGGAGGATGTCTCTACTGACAGAGAAAATCGGAAAGCTTCGAAACAGACATGCTCAAAAGGACCTGCGATTACGAAGAAAACCTCGAAGAAGTCGAAGGACAATGAGACAATATCGAACGCTCGCGCGACGAGGATCATCTCTCAAATGACTGCTCTTCACGGTCCCGGCAAGAATATCCAAACTAAGGATATTAAGCAGGAACTCAGGAAAAACAAACTGAGCGGCGAGAAATCTAAAGCAACCGATAATGTCGAAAAGGGGATTCGAGGCGATAGACGATCCAGGACGAGAGCTACCAAAACAGATAAAGGTCCTGCAGAGGAGGTCGAATGTACCACAACGACGACAACGTCGACGACGAAGAGCTCGAGTAAAATCTCCGCTCGAAGACCACTGAAAAAAGTACGTCGAATTGAAACCGAGTCCGAGACTGAGACAGAACGTGAACTCGTGGCCAAGGCTGTACTCGAAGATGGGTATAACAAAATTTACTTTACTGTAATATAATCCATTTTCCTAAAATTATTTATTGTAATTATTTATAATTATTTAGTATTTTTTGAATTTTAATAAATATATATATATATATCTTAGTAAATATTACGTAAATAAGAGAATTTGTCTGAATTTTTTTTTTAATTTTAGACACGCAAGACCGAGCATTAAGAACGACGATACGATTCGCGAGACAATCATTCGGACAGGAAGCAGAGAGAGAAGACTGGAAGCGCGGCTCTCCGAACATTCCTCTGAGAGGAAAGTATCATCGAGAGCGCTCAGTATGGATCGCATCAGGGCATATGTATTGCGTAAATTTGCGAGCACCGCGAGCTTGGAGGTTCTGCGATCGCCTACATACGTGGAGCAAGTGCAGGAGGTGATCGATCGCGCGGCGCCGATTATCAAGGAGAAACTAGAAGAAATCGGAAGACCACGCGGAAAGCGTTCGAGATCTGTCGATCTCGCTTGGAACGAGGAATCGCTTCATCGGCACGTTCGAGAAGAAAAGAGACACGGCGATGAAGAAGAAAGTGGAAGAGGAAAAAGCAGAAACGGGCTGGAGCGGAAAGCTGATATCACGAAGAAAGAGGAAATGGAAGATTCTCTTGGAAGAGAAGAGACGATTTCAATCATGGAGTGTGAGGAGAAGAAATCGAGAAGGCGCAGCATAGGATCGGGCAAAAGATCAAGAAGGCGCGAAAGTGGTGACTTCGGAGTCGTCGATGAAGTCGATGACAACTCGAAGCATAGTAATAAATTGGAGCATGAGTCTAGTGCGACGCACGACACCTTGGAAGCGAGATTGACTGCCACACAGAGCATCTTGGAAGATATCTCAAAATCAACATCCGAGTTGGGCGGTGCTCGTAGAAGTGATCCTGCCGGAAATGAACCATCGGAATCGGAAGTCTCCGATCACGTCGTTTCTCTGCCTGTCGTAAGACCGCCATCTTCTAGAAACTCCAGGAGCGCTACCAAAAATGGTTCGGATTGTCTGACGTTGCCGCCCATCTCACCGGAAGCTCCCAAATCGGCAAAGAAAAAGGACGAGTTATCCTTACCGGTTCTGCTGACAGCAGTAAATAACGGCAACCATTCCGCCAGGAAATCGCAGGAGCAGGATGTTTCAAAAGACGCAGAGGAGGCCTCGACGATGTACGACATTACGAGCGATATAGAGGAAATAGCGGTTTTTTCTGAAAACGATCACGAAGATGCGATCGTAGATGTAAAGCAGGAATCTGACAGTGATCGCCAGGACCTGCTAATATCGGACGTAAGATTTATCAATGAAGAAGAATGTGAGAGAAACAAGGATGTAGATAAAGTTTTTAATGAGAAATGCGAAAGTCTCGAGGAGTTTGAGGAATTAGAAAAATTGGAAGAAGGCAGGAAGTCAGAGGAAGTCTTCATAGATAGTTTAAACGTTACACCGGAAGTAGCTGACGTACCGCTAAGACCAGATTCGTTGGAACTTGATGAAGAGGTCAAACTTGAAGATGATAATATGGATCCTGCACAAGAGAATGCTTTCGATAGGTTGAAAGATAAATTGATCGAGATCGAAATGGCGGAACGCAGTATTGAGAAAGCGTTGGCTTGCCAAGTCGCCACGTGTGACATTGGCGAAATGACCACCCAAGCGGAAAAGTCGGTGACTGACGGGAAGATAAATGAAGCAGGAGAGCCGACTAATGAGGCGGAAGAAACTGTGAATGAGATACTAAAGTCGATGGACGCGGAAAAAATACCAGTAAATAAAGACGACGAGGAAAGGAAAAGGAACAATGACGATGAAAAAAGAAAATCGATGAATGATATAGAAAATATAAAAGGTGTAGCAGAAATATCAAATAAGACGGAAGATTTAAATGTAGAAGATAAATTAATAAATAAAGCAGAAAAAATAGAAAGTGAAATAAAGGGATCGACTAGTAAAACGGAAAATTTAATAAATAAATTAGAAGCAAATGGAATTGAAAAATTGATGAACGAAAATGAAGCAGAAAGTTTGAAAAATACAATAGGAATATTAAAGAATGGAGCAGAAAAAATAATTGACCAAATGGAGATAACAATGGCAACAGAAAACACGATGAAAGTACAAGACAAGAGATCGATAGATAAAACTGAAAAATTGAATGAAAAATTATCAAATGGCGTAGAAGAATTAGCAGTTAAGATTCATGTAAAAAATGGGCAATCCATAAATGCAAGATCGCTTGGTAAAGATTCTCAGATTACTGAAGTAGTCGAAACGGACGATGGTAATACGTCATCAGAAAAAAAATCTGAAAATACGACGAATGAATTTTCTCAAAGCACAACTTCTGAAAATACTGCGATCACGAGCGAAAGCTCGACAACGAATCTTCCCAATGAGAACAGCCAAACGAAAGCACGGAAGAAACGCGAAAGTGACAACGAGTTACCAATGATAACGCCGCTCTCTTTAGAGCTTCCGTATTCTTACGTTCTCAGCGAAGGTTCCCCTTGTGAGATTCCTGATTCCGTGACGACTGTGATCATTCCGGACAAGCCGTGTCCTTCTCCCGTTACTCTGAAGGACGAGGATTATCAGCTCGAATCAACAAATCAAACAGAGATATCACTTACATATTTCAATTCGGAGATTTCTAAAGACGAAGGACAGGACAAGGATCAGCAAGGATATGACATGGAAATTTTTGGGGAATATATCCAACCGGAAGCCATTCTGCCCATTGATGCCGATTTTGTACGTAGCGTAAAAGGGATAAAACCGAGTCAGGACATAGTGATCATCCATCAGGACTTGGATAAGATTAAAGAAGAAGGTGAAGAAGAAGTTGTAAAAGAAGACGACGAACGAAAAAAAACAGAGAGCCATCAAGGAAAAGAAAATGATAAAGAAAAAAATGTAAAAGAGAAAGAAACGACAAAGCTTGCGACGCTGGAAAATATCATGGAGCATGAGGAGAACGAAGAAACTAATATAAGAACGATTGAGTCTAAAGATGCTGAGGAAATTTCTTCTGGCGTTCTCGAGTACGAATCTTTACCCGATACCAAAGATTTAACGATTGATACTGTTTTGACAAACGAAGGTAGAGCGGAAGTACACAGGGTACCCACACGACTACGTCAAGTGACATTAAGGAAAGCACTATAAGCAATCAATCGGTTGAGAGTCCAAGTCCGGACAGACCAGTAGTACCAGAACTAAACTTGGACTCACTTCAGGATAACACGGTGTCGTCATTCAAGATGACGACAAACGAAATAGAAAAGGAGGACAACGACAGAGAAAGCGATGCTACGATCTCCTTGGTCGAGCCATTAATTTCAGATGAGAGGTTAATGAATCGGTTGGCCGATCATGAAGAAAAAATTATCACTGAAGAGTTGACAGAGAGAGATCTTCAATCAGAGTTTCCAGAGGCTGATCAATTATATCATGCAGAACATATGGAATATAAATGGTTGGAAAAGGATCCGTTATCTACGGAAATTAACTTGGAAGATGAAACAAAATCTCAAGAAAACAATGTTGATTTGAAGACGACTTTACCGGAAGACGCTATACAAGTCGATTTGATTTCGCAGGAGAAAGCAGAGACAGAGGAATTAGGAAGCGAGGAAGAAATCGCTAGAGAATTGATAGATTTATTGGATAAAGATATACAACTTCGCGCTGAAGAATTGGATTTGAAAAAAGAATCTATAGACAGTGGAGAATCTGAGAAAAGTAATTTAGAAATAGACGATAAATCTAATCAACTGTTGTCAGCATCTATGCATTCGATATTAACTGAACAAGAAAAGAAGGAATATGAAGATTCTTTACATAAAACAGATGAAATAGTAAGGACTGAAATGATCAGCGAATTATCAGGTGATATAACGGATATCAGTCAAGATAAAGATAAAAACAATGCGATAACAAATAAAGAATCTGAAAAAATTAAATTGGAAATGATAGAAAAAGCATGTATAGAGAATTCGCATATTGCACCTTTAGCACAATTTGAGCAAGATGAAATATTGGAAGAAAATGGTAGTTCTGAGATGGCTGATGAAAACATTACAGTTAAAAGTAAAATTGATACTATTAATGCTGATTACATCAATATTCAGGAAAAACTTGAAGACAAACAAACGAGTATAAAAGATCCAGAGAGCCAAAGTAGCGACAGTAAAATTAAAGAACCGAAAGCAGGAAATATAAAGCACGAAGAAAATGCACAAGAAGAGTTGCAAAGTCAGAAAAAACACGAGCAAGAAGAATTAGAAGTATGCGAGGAATACAAGCAAGAAAAATTAGATGTTCAAGAAAAAATCGAGCAAGAAAAATTAAAAATTCAAAGTAAAGATGATCAAGAAAATATAAAGTTGGAAGAAAAAATTATAAATATGACAGCATCGCCTCTAGAAGTAATAGAGTCGAGGAAAGACTCAATAAACGAATCGATGAAAAATGACGACAGGGATGAGGACATTAAACCAAACGATAAATTCATTATTGACGATCAAACTGGAAAAGATACGGAAAATGAGAAGGAAGAGAAAAGCGAAGACCTTTCAGAGAAGGTAGAGAGCGTCCATGGACCAATTATAAGTGCAATATCGGAGCAATCGACAGAAGATCATTCTCGCTTTGGATATTGGACTATGGGAACGAAATCATCAACTGTGGAAACAGTAATTGAAGCTTTAGGTTCTAATACGACTACAGACGAGAAGATTGCTGATGAGTCAGAAATCATCACGGACGAATCGCTTACTCAGAAAAAAGACTTAGCAGCAGTTGTAAAAATTCAAGCTTGTAAGTAAAATGCAGCGTTTTGATAAAATTATGTTGTGATTCTTCAATTATGCTGCGTTAGCAATATAGATAACTGACCACCGACTTTCTTATCTTTTATTACGCTTAAATATTGTAATATAACAAGGTCAGAATTTTGCGGATATAAATAATATTGCAGTGTCATTAATTTTGTTGAGATTAGAAAGTGGAGTAATGTTATTTTAAGTCACTTATCAGAGTTATTTAATGAATAAAGAGAGAGAGAGAGAGAGAGAGAGAGAGAGAGAGAGAGAGAGAGAATAACGAAGATTATTTTTTGAAGGTATCCGAGGATTTTTAACGCGTCGTCGCGTGCGAAGAAATGCGAGCTTAGAATTTCCTTCTAATGATGTTCCATCGACGCAAAAGATTACGGTGAATATAATTTTTATAATAATTTTAAGCCGTGTGTGTGTGTGTGTGTGTGTGTTCCCTCAAAAATTATAAAGCGTTACGATTACGTAATTGTATAAAAAATTAGTTTCTGTTTATTCATGTTACATAAAAATTAACAAAAATTGTACAATATACTGAGAGAGAGAGAAAGAGAGAGAGCCTAATAAAATAAAATTTCTTACTAAATGCTGTTATTGCATTCTAAATGTAATTTCGCACATGGTTATTTAATGTGAAACTGATCTTGGAATTGAGTCCATCAGTTTTCCTCTGTTTTGCCGAGTAGAACAGCTGGACGCAATATTTCGCACGCCACGCCCGTCGGAAGTTTATTACGTAAAAGAGGAAGCGGCGGGTCACTGCTAAACGTCAGCGCTTTCATGATTGCAACAGGCGGTTTGGCAGTAACTGGCTTGGCAGATAGACCCGAGTTTTCCCTTAAAATAATTGTTTCTTAAATCAGAATTGACGTCCACGGAATTGACGTCTTACGAATGTTGTTTTTGTTACATTTCCTTAAAAACATGTCTCAAAATAAAATTTATTTACACTAATTGATTATTTATTATTCTTTTTTAATAATGAGTACCTTTCTTTAATAATGATTAAATGATTGATTAATTAATGCACTTCCCTTTTTCTACAAATCAGATGTAATTGAACTTCATGGTAATGTTTAGAGCGATCATCTGGTACCGCAGGATACTTCGAATCTGCGAGAAGCCAGACGTCTTCGACGAGAAGAAGCTTTGCGGAATACAACACTCTCATTGGAAAATGCCTTTGCGACAGGTCGACTTCAACATACAGGCGAATTTCACGATTCTGTGCCGTTGCTTCCTTTCGATCTGCTGAATAGTAAAACTGATTCAGTCACCTCAAACGATTCTTTGGATGAAGAAGTTGATGTTAAAGAAGCTAATACACCTGATAATGCAAAATCTAGTGCCAATGAAAGTGATACCGTGTAAGTAATAATTCGTAAAAGAAATACATCAATTAAAGTTGGAGTATTCTATTGATGTTATATGTCCACTTTATATAATATCATTATTATTATTCCTTTAATATCCGTGGAATATCATTCAAATATTTATTAATATTAATTATTAGTATATAAGATCGCAATGTGAATTTACAATAAGTAACAACAAGCTTTTATCGGTCTGAGATGAATCTTAGTGTTTAAATAATGTTTCGGATTTTAGATTCTACAATTGCGCGACGAAATCATTTTCAGTCTTTACACAGAATCTTAAACCGAACTGAGATGTATATAATAGTTTTACAAATTAAAGTAAATATTATTACTTTAATTTTTTATATTTATATAATATTACAGTAACATTAAATATATTATTATTTTTTAATAATCATATAATATTATCAGCAGTTGACATATAATGATACCTATTAATATTTCAGGAATACTATTTGATATTATACAATAATAGTAAAATATTATTAAAATGTTACATTCATATAATACATATTAAAATGTTCAATATTCTAAGAATACGCTTATAGTTATTATACGCTTTTACTCTTTAAATTATAGTATTACTCTTTAAATTATAGATGTAATAAGCTGTGCATTCTCTGTATAATCTTTAACGTTTGTGCTCTCATTAAAAAGAGAACGTAATATATTGAATCTATATAAAGCTCTAGATGTTAACAAAAATAACGCAAATAACAGCCATGTTTGATCTCATAGTAACGCGCAGTCTATACTTATTATATACTTCAAATATTATTTGTTATTTAGTGTCTTAAATTAAAATCACTTTTGTGTAAACATCTTTTGCTACTTGTCACAGTCGCGAACATCGGACGACTTTCCACAAAGGCAACACCTTCGTTGATCCCACCTTTCCAATCGTAATGCATCTGCTGACGGATGCATCCCGCAATTGCCACTTCACGGTCAGTCAAAATTCCCATTCAGATTTTAATCCAAATGCTAGAGGAGCCAAACCCATGGAACCGACTGTGGACATTGTGATGCTGGGTTATCCGAGAGACGATGAGAATCAATATCTGAATTTCATAACCAGCGTCGAAGATCTAAACTCCAATATGGATTCCTTGACTCTGCACGATGTGATGAAAAGCGCAAAGAACACCAGCGACGCTCGTCCTTCAACGACCTCCGGCGAGGGTAGTCTCAGGGAGCCCTTGGCTCTTCCAGGAGTCTCTCAGGGTGTCGTGATCGAAGAGGTAACCAGCTTAGACGAAGTCATCCCGTCGGAATCGACGAAACCGTCAACCGCGCCGAAGACCTCGCTGGATACAAATAGCTCAATGCCATCTGAGGAATGTGCCCTCGAGGACACGAAGAATGATTTAGGGATATCTCCGAGAACTACGGATACAACGGAAGACCGGAAACAAGAAGCTGAAGGACAAGAGTCTGATTGCAACCCTGAGAGTGTTGGAGAGAGCGATTTGCATAGCGACGATGCAAATAAAAATTTTAACGAGTTCTCTGGCAATAGCCGTGAGCCAATGGCAGAAGAGAAGGATAAAACATGAATCATATATTCATGAATCATGTATTCGTGGAGACGTGTAGGTTGACGTAAAATAGAGCAGGAGTCGCGAATTGTATGATCGGTCAATTGATTCCTCCCATTAAAATCGTTAGGAATTTGCAAGACAATGATTGCTATAATTTCATCGCACATTAAGATATTTTGCAAGAAGCACTTGTGTTTTATATTATACTTAACGCAAAATCCAGAACGTCTGTTTGTTTATTTGTTTATGTAGAAATAAGTAGACGGTGTGAGAAGGGTATCACTCAGGAATAATATTAATAAACACGAAAAAAATTATGACATAGTGCTCAGTTACTAATTTATATACGAGGGAAATGCAACGCGAGCTCTAAAGTCGCAATTTCGCTACACGATACAAGCGAACAGTCTCTTTTTCCGCTTTTTACATAGTTCGAAATTATATTGTCTATCTTTGTATATGCAAAGAGCATCAAATAAATTGCATATATAAGACAACTCAATTCGCTTTCACTTTAGAATATATCTCTCTCTCTCTCTCTCTCTACTATAAGAAATATTTAATTCAAATTAACAAGTATCGATATCAGTAAGTTGCAAATTAAGTATATTCTTGGTGATAAGGTATATCCAACATCTTTACTGCACAATTATGGCCTATGAATTAATTACAAATTAACTACGACGCAAAAATCTTAACTTGATGAAAATAATCTCTCGTTTTACTAATATTTCGTGTTGGCGTAACTAGCTGTATTTCCTAGCTCCTAGAAAATCAAAAATATAAAAGTGGAAACACAGTATAGAGCAATTTCATCATAATGAAGCGTTTTGTATTCTTTGAACTTCTGTGATTGGCTGTTAATTGCGTCCGTAATAATCAAAAAGCTTCGAAATCGAGCCGACAATGTTTTGCATTTGGATCAAGCAGAATTAATGCAAGCAGCTCGGATACGGACCTTGGTACATATTTTTAGTGCCTGCCACGATCTAAAGAGAGAAAGAGAAGAGAGAAAGAGACGAATGACGATCAGTATCGTGGTCGTCTCGAGCGTCCAGTGAGCGGGGATCCAAGGTAAGGGCACGACGTCGCAGTGACGTCATCGGGCGTCGCGACGACGACGACGCCGTCGTTGTCGCCGCCACTCGCTACGACGCGCGTGCAGGCATCATCGCGATCTGTCGCGGCAACCGTTTTCTTCCTTTCTTTCTCTCGTAGTGATCGTCGTGTATATCATCGCTTCCAAACTTTGTTACGCTCGCTAATAGTCGCGAGCGATCTGCTACCGCAGCTTTGTCACGTACGTCCGGTATCTTTGAAAGGTAAGCGAAATCAGCGTTCGCGAGTGCAGCTGCAGATAGACAGCTTCATTCTGAGAAAATCTTCGAGAACATATCTTTACTTGGGTTACCTACGTATTTACGTACGCAAATACGTACAAAATTTGGCTTTCGACTTCGGTTGACTTTTACAGTCATGAAACTGACATTAATGAAAATTGAAAATGATGAAATCGATTTCCTTTTAGAGAGAGTCTTTAATTTATTTAATAAGAGATGTATCTGTCATTTTAATGTCTATATTACATTAGAATTTGCAAACGTTCCTCCTAGCTATATAATATTATTACCAATAAATTGCACAATGAAGATATCTCTCTCTCTCTCTCTCTCTCTCTCTCCCTTGCTTTTTATTTTATATTTTTATAAAATTGTAATTTTATAAAATTACTTTTATCTAAAAATTTTATATCGATTAAAACGTTATTTAATCTTGCTTGACAAAAGTAGTATGTTTACCTCTCTATCTTTGGGAAATGTTTAAGCCCGTGCAATTTTAATTTGTGAAATCGATATCTCAATATAATCTAAACTAATATAAAGAATAACAATAACATTAATTAACAAACACTAGAAATATCAGTGAATATAATTTACAAAAACATTTTGTTAGACGCGAAATGCGTGATGGAGAACGAGACGAAGCGCGTCACGAGTACGCGCGAGATCTACGAGCGGGATCGTTATCGATGTCCGAGCCGGCCGATTGGATGACGCGTATCCGAGCGAGTATATTTTCGTGATGATGAGCATCGGTGAAGAGTTATGCGCGAATACGCAGAGATCAAACAGCGGACGCAAACAAATTGGAATGTTTCTTGGCCGCACGCGCGCGGACTTTCGTCGACACTCTCGCGAGCATCAATCATCAATCAGCGTATATTGGCCTCAGGACGACGAATTCGCTGTGACGCGCATGTCGACCGCGCTCACGAGACCAAAATTAATGCTATCCCAGGCGTATTACGAACACTTTGCGAGCTCCCCAATACAGCGTTCTCCCCTGATACGACGCGATCAATCAAGCCGCAAGTGGAAAAATAAATGTCCGAATGGTACTTGAACACGTGTATTGTATAAAGTTCCCTAAATTAAATTCCTTACATTTCTCAATGAACGAGCGTATCGTTGAGGGACAGAAATAAAATGAAAATTGTATTCTAAGAATGAAGAAATATTCTGGCGTTTGATTAAATTTAATGTAACGTAGTGGCAACTTTTTGATAAATCCTGCATTTTTCTTACTTGATTATAAAAACTCATATACAGATAACATATAAGGTAATAATGAATAATAGCATACATATAAAAAATAAGATAAATTCTTTCATAATTCTTTAATAAATACGTATTTAAAAAGAAAGAAAGTAAAAATATTTTGTGGTTCCACACGGTTTTATGGTAATTCGAATTGCTCCCGAACTGCATTCTTTCTCCAGTCTTCTCGTAAAGCGATATAAAATCCAGCACGTTCGCGTTTTTAGCTTCATTTAAAAGCGCGCGAAGGCCGTCCCACAGCTATCGGGTGATCGGCGCTCACCCTCTGCCAACTTTGTACGAAATTAACCCATCCTCGGATGCGTGAAATAAGACATGAAGGTGATCGACGGTTCGGAGAAACCGAACGGGCCTCTTTCGCCGGTGGATTATCATCGCAGAACGCATGCGTGATAGATCCATCCTTCGAGGCGGATAAACCGCGCTCGCTGAGCTAACGTGCGCCTCTTTGTCGTGCGTTCGTTGCGCGTCAGTTTCCCATTCCGCTTCTTGCTAGGAGGACGCGCGATAAGGAGATCGCGGAAGTGAGCGCAAAAGTGTTCTGCGATCGTATCTTTTTTTTCGTGAGATAAAATTCCCGCTCCCCAGAGAATCGGGAAGATCTTGCTCCGCCTACTCTCTCGGCCCGATATTTATAAACCATCGGAGAACATCGATACGATATTTATAAATCATCGGAGAACATCGATCCGAATTTCACTGAAGACTTTCATAATTATTTTTTGCGATTCACTTCGCAAACGTTTAATCGCGATTGATATTGGGGTTTCCCAGAAGATCCCTGAAATAACAGGGGGAATCTGGTTTTCTTCCTGAAGAAAATTTTTACTGAGAAGAAAGCCGCTCTTTTTTTTGCCATCGATATATTTATAGTTGATCGAAGATATCCTGAAGTGGTTATCGGTCTTATTTCTGCTGGTGGAGTTATAAATAAAATTAAGGAATTATCTTATCTACAAGATTACCTCGCTTCCGTTTTGAAACAAATCTTTAAATATATCTTACGAATCTTTATCTCTCTTTATTGTTTTTCGTTCGGAATACCATTCCGATAAATCGCCAGGGGAACTTTCGAATGAATCTGTTCTCTCGGGAATGATCTTTACAAATAATCAAAAATAACTTGAATTGTTTTCGCTCTTGGATCGATCTTTGTAAATAAGCTGTGAAGGTACACGAATCTCTCCGGAAACGATCTTTGTAAGCAATCCGGGAAAACGCCAAATTTCTGCGGAGTCGGTCTTCGTGAAACACCTTGGAGAACTCGGAATTTTACGGACGGACTTTAACGACCGAGACACGGAGCTTCGCGTAACCGGCTTAGAACTCCGTTCATGTCGCAGACTTCGAAGGAGGACGCCGACGCGATGAAGGCTAACACGGCGGCGACGAAGATCCAGGCCAATTTCCGCGGATATCGCGTGCGCAAGCAGCTGAAGGAATCCACGCAGCGTCGTCGTCAACAGCAGAATCAGCAGGACTTGAAGCGGGATCGGCAGCAGCAGCAACAACAGGAACGTATGAAGCCGAAGGAGCATCTGCTGAAGAGACAGAGCACTCGGGAGGCGCTCGAGGAGAAGTCGGCGACGAAGATCCAGGCGGGCATTCGCGGTTTCCTGGTGCGAAAGAGGCAGCAGGCCGTTCAGGCCGCGGCAACGAGGATCCAAGCCGGCTTCCGTGGCTTCAAGACGCGGAAACTGCTGAAGCAAAACGGCCAGTAAGCTGTCCCTTTCTGGTGCGAGAGGCGACGTGGGACGTTGACGTGTGCAAGAGGTTCTTCCCGTTTATGTCTCGTGATTGCGCTGATGTAAATTAGAACTTGTTACCGATGTGATGCATTTGCTGCGAGGCTGAGTGGAAGATGTGATAATTACTTCGATCTACATATATTCCCAATCCATTTCTCTTAGGATCTAACAGAATTATATTTAGCTACTGAATACGTAAATTTTTCTGTGTGAATCTGAAATGTCTGGAATGTATTTTTTCTAACTTATGTAATGCTATCAAATAAGTAACACGCAAAATTAATAATTTTGAAATATACGTTAACAAGTTTTTCCAAAAATGTTCTAATTTAACACACTTAAAATGCATATTGTCATTTGAGTATAGATATATTATATAATATATACTCTTTATTATTATACAATATATATATATATGCAGTGTGTGTGCATGTGTGGATATGTCCCAGCAAACAAATTGACATTATTTGTCGCTATTTTGTCAAAATAACGTCTTTAAGATTACTAAAATCTTGTTTGCTGGGATATTATACAATAATACCCAGAAAAAAAATAAAAACATAATTTTTTTCTAAACTTAAAAGCATTTTTTTTTTTAGCAAAATCGGATAAAAGAATTTTTTTGTCTTTGCTTGATTTAAAAGTTTAATTTAATCTTACTTTTACGTGCTTTGGAATAATCACAGGATATTTATATATCCTAATAGGAATTATCTAATATCTTCTTTTATTCCGACATTGCGTGTACGACAATAGCGAGAAATTTTCTTAAAATATAAAAGAATTGTTTTTCAAGCGTGTTTGAAACCGTGATAACTTGCGATGATTGCGACGATTGCGTGCTAATACTAATCGGCACTCATTAACTGCACAAGGAAAATGTAAACAGCTGCAACATGTGTCCGCGACATCTCAACGCTTATAAGCGGTTTAAATATAACGTCGAGCTTGCGCTTCGAGCCCTTGACCCTTAAATTCTTCTTAGCACGGAATTCTTTGGCACGTCTCTCGACCTTCTCCATATATTTGTTCTCATATTGTGTATCGTTTATTTTTCAGCATTTTGCGGATTCCTTTGTAACTCGGACAAGCCCTACAATTGGATTGGAGGCGAGAAAGGAAATGACAATTTCAATTAAGTTGATTACATTGTACGCTTTTGAGACACTCCGTTTATCTTTGAACTAACTTTGTTAATCCTGTTGGAAACTATCTCGGGAATTGATCGATAATTAGTGGAACGTTGCTTTACGACAATATATCATTATTCTTATTTTCTTATTTCGATTTTTTCCATAATAACTTTTATATGAGAACGATGGCAATTAATAATAATAACGAAGAAAGAAGTAATGGTCAAAGACATCGTGCCTCGAAGGAAAGCGGTTAAGATATATAAATATATATATATGTATGATAGAAATTAGTTAAATAATTATATAAATCTCTCTCTTAATATACTCTCTTGTTATATCATTTTTTATGTAATTAATGTAATTAACGCGTTGATTTATAAATTCGAAATCCTACAAATTATAATCGAAGATACATATATAGAGCATAATTTTGTATCCGTACAATCTGTTGATAAATGATACTTGTATAATGACTAGCGCATAAAAAAATGTATATATTAATATATACTTTTTGTCGTTGTACTTGCGTTTTGATTCTGCCCGGATTTTGTGAATAATAAATTTGTAATCTTTGTAATAAGTATTTATATATATATATATATATGATGGTTATATTTAATATATGTATAGATATTAAAGAATACTTACATTTTTTGTAATTTACTTTGGTGATAAGTATATTTCTTATTATTCAGTATATGTTTATTTTTTAACTGAATGATATAAGCTTATATATAATATATGTGTGTCTAAATTTGATGCGTTATCCGACGAGTAAAGCAGTTCACCAGTATTTCTGGATGGCAGCACTTATAGGAAAGCCATTGTCTTCAATACACAAGATGCTTTAAAATCTTTAATTATTTAATCAATGGCATGTTTGCGACTCGACCATTTCTTTAAAAAAATGTTTCTTCAAAGATATGCTAATAAATATCGATAAAAAATCTATTTAAAATAAAAGAAGAAAAGATACTATATCGAGAAAATGCGGAAAAACACTTTTATTTACGTAAACTTGAGAGTTACACTTATCGTTTGAATAAACAAACCATTTCGTTTCATTTATCATCGTAAATTAAGAAACAATTTCATCTTGTTGCGAATGAGGCAACAGACTAGTTTAAGAGCGCGGATAAACAAATTAATTCGAGACGAGGGAAGGTACGTCAATGATGCGCACATGAATGCAACCAATTTTATTCTGTTGTCCGTTACATAGGGGCGGCGCGTTCGCCGAAATATTCACATCCGGTCTCCGCAAAAATACCGAGAGTTATGTAAGATACTCGTTCTTGAGGCGCTTACAGACTAATCGGTGCGAGAGAAGTACCGGTGAAAAAGTCAACTATTAACTATTTTCGTGTCTATTTAATAAATATTAGTAACAGTCCGTTAGTGTGAGAGGCAAGGTATTGATATACTGACAATATTTATCTAAGCGGGCGCGCTTTATCGGAAATCCCTTATCGCAGGGAGATCTTACCCTCTTCTTAAAATTTAACCGCGTCGACAATGAAAATAAATATTAAGATAAATGCGAAGTGTCGATATAACTTTCGTGAATACATACGTAATCGAAATGTCAAATCGGAATGTCAAAAATCATATTATGACTGTTTTACAGAATAGGGTAGGGAACGGGAGAGGGGAGGACTTTTGTATCTTCCTCATATGTACTTCATCTTCAAATTTTCTTCTGCTTTTTGATTCTCGACAGAGATCTGGCTTTTTAATGTTTTCTGACACGAAATTCATCGAGGATCCCGTCGGTCGCTCCTTGCTATTCAGCAAGAGGCGCGATTCACAGCCAAGGACCATGCGCGATGATTCATCTCTCACGAGATCAATCTAGCCGGCGATATACGCGCGTGCGCTCGCGCTATAATAAGCGCGCAGACACGGACGCAAGTTTCATTGAGACATACGTGTATAAAGACTGGATAACGTAATTAAAAAATCACAGAAATGCCATTATACACGGACAAGAGCACCGTCGTCTCACTAGAGCGGGAAATGGGGATGAGGGTGGGTAGAGACTGGGCTCCGACGAGTTATCTATCACAATCGAAGATACCTAATGGGATTATATCGTGAAATGCAATAAATAATTCGGAAAATCACTAATATATATCCGCGTTTCTCTCCATCTTTCTCGTTTCACATTCGCACCTCTCACATTCGTCGTCTCATCCATTCGTCGTTCTTTTCGTCCATCCGGGGGTTGGTTTAGATTTCCGTTTACTTGGCGAATCGATCGATGGGGAAGTTGTCGAAGATATCGGGATAGCTCCGCGTCTCCAGGCTCTGATGGGGCAAACAAGTGTTCGCGAAGCACGTGAGGTTGTCCACGCTGCAACCAGTGCAGCGATTGCAACTGCAGATTAATCCATCGCCGCACACTCCCCAGGAATCGCTTGGACCACCACAAATTTGCCCGGGGCCCTACAGAAAATCGATGTCAATAAAACCATGAAAGTTCATCATACACTCGTAGAATTCTCGACGAACTTTCAAATGGAGACCAACGCAACATCGAAGACAGACAGAATAAAACTTGTGCAAATTTGTGTTAAATTTCACGTTAAATAAATTTTATATTAAATACAAACTGTAGTATAATCCAAAACAACTGACCAAAGAGTTTAGAATACGAAACTTTAAATAAAAATAAAATCGAAATTTTATTCTTTCTTATAGTAAATCTTGCTTCATATTCAGAACTTTTTTTCAACACTTTTATCGGTAAATGTATACGCTTTTAATTTAATACTAAAAATTAAATGTCTACTTTTAATTTAATTAATACGCTTTTATTTCTGAAATTTTGTAGTATATGTAACGTAAACTATATACTGTATAATCTTATAATAAATATATCATCGTTTTAAGCGCGTTCTGAATACGAGCTTTTGAATTTTAGAATGATATACGATGAGATAGACGTTTAAGAATAATTTTCTAAAATAGAACAATGCATCGTACTATTGTTAATTGCTACTCACTCTTCGGCATTC